TTATACACGTAAGTGAAGCCTTATTGTTCAAAGTCAACTGCACTTACTACACCAGTTAACTTATTCCTTGAAGTTCTGGAAGTAGTTCTGATGCTCAATATAACATTTTAAATAGCAAGAGTTAATTAACAACAAAGAATTTTTTTATTTTAATGTTAATATTTGTATTTCTGAAATAAATTTTTATTGAGAAGTAAGCACTAACAGATAATCCACTTGTGGATAATTGAGATTATACTGTGTTGTTTAAAAGTATGTGCTTTGATTTTATGTAATTGAATAGATTTATTTAACTTAGAATATTTTGTCTACTAGAATAAAATGTTTTCGTAATAGGAAATTTATCTGAAGTGGAATTTTTGTAGGTTTTTGAATTGTTAATACTATCTTTTACACTTTAAAAAGTAAATTAATAATAGCCTAATAATAATTTCAATAAGGACTTTTTCATAGATAAAGGCTTTTTACAATTATTTTGAGAAATAAAGTATTTAATTTGGCCAAGATAATAAAGCAGCAGAGGTGTTAATCTGTCTCTCTGAGCGAGTTAAGTTTGAATCTGGATCGAATTTTTATTCATAAGTAAAATTATTCAGATATGTTTGATCCCATTTCTTAACACCAGTCTGGTGACAGCCAGATGACTGAGTGGTTGAGGTGGACAGCCTATCACTCTAGGAACTCAGGATTGAATCCATATTGGTCAAAAAGCTTAGGAATTTTTTAAGTGTGGTCTGTCCAGATATGTTGGGCCCTGTTCTTTACCACCCAGCTGAACCTGTAATGGGCTTGTTAAGGGAAAAAACATAACAGTCTGGCTGAATCTATAATGGGTAATGCTAGATGGTTGAGAAGATGAGTGTTAGCCTGCTAGTCTATGGATCCTGGTTGAGTTTTTGTCAGGAGTTTTAGTGGATGGTCTGTCCTGTGTATGTAAAGCCCTGTTCCTCACTATACAGCCACTTCCATTGTGAACTTTGCCAAACCCAAAATGGGCATTATTAAAATGGCTCTTCTAATGCCTTCAGGGTGAAGAATCGAAAATGGTAAAAAAAATCTCATAATTATTGGAAATGATGGCCAATTTAGTATTTTCCAGAAGGAAACATTAAAAATATATTTTACATATTGAAAATGAATGTGATAAATATCAACAAAAATATAAATTTAACATTGTTCAGTTGAAATAAATTTTCTAACTTGTCTTTTTGATTTGTAAATTTTCCATCCAATGGAGATTATTATTATTAAACAAAAAATTAATTGTCTTTAATTAATTTTTTGTTTAATAATAATANAAGTATGAGTGTTTCCTCAGAAAATACTGTACTGTACTTGTATGTATTGTTTACTTGAGAATACAACAGAGAATAAATTGCCCAAATACCCTCAAACATAGGAAAAGTACATCCTTTATGAAGGCATAGAGCCTTTACTACATGAAAATGAAAATTAATGAATACACTGTGTACAGTAATTTACCTGATAAGACAAACCTCAGAAAAATACTTTATGAGGCATAAAGCTGTCTATAATGAAAATTAATTAACTAAGGATTTTTTTGCCCTGCCAGGGTGTGGCCGAGTTATCCGCACTGCCGGGTTATCGAGTGCCGAGTTTTCAAGAGACTACTGTATTTATAGAACAATATGTTTCCTTACTTCCTTTCAACAGAGTTTAGCAATAACTATTCCACTTATTTACATAAGAAAATTTCAATGACTTCATTTAATAATTTAAGATTACTCTATCAACATTAAAAAAATCAGAATGAGATACCCTTTAAAAACAGTTTTTAATTTTTATGTCAATTTTACAGATGATATTTTAATGTTTATTTTACAAAGAAACTTTGGCAAATATCTGACATCACAGGAACTTTAAACAATTTGCATAAGTATAGGCAAAGAACCTATAAAGAAAAGTTGACTCTGCTAAAGCTAATTGTATTCTGGTGATTGTAAATGATGTTCAGAAGACTTCAAAAATATATAATGTATATATATATTTTTTCATTCAGTCTTCAATGTTGTATTTTGAAATGTTAGATTGCTATCTGTACTTTAATTAATAAATTTTGAAACTTAATTTTCTTCTAAAACATAGATTATAAACATTTTAAGTAGAGTTTATCAATAAAACATAAAATAACCCATTGTTTTCAATTTTGAACACAATATATCCATGATCAAAAACATTAAACATATTAAATTAAATGTTAAAACAACATTCAGATTTTAAATCTATTAAAATAAATATTTTTAGATGAATATTTTAGACTGTAATCATGAAAACGTGAATAAATTTAAAGTAAACAAAACATTTAAACAAATTGTCAAATTCAACTTTTAAAAATGCTTTTAAATAGAAATTTAAAAATCAATATATAAATATTAACAGAAACATGAAAATCTAAAAATGCTTAAAAGTTAAATCTAAAAAATGTTTAATTTTTAGGTTAGATTTCGTCTTTCTTGCCATTTTTATGCTGACAAACTTTTCTGGGTGTCTGACATTATATTATCATTAGATTTCTTATAAATTCATATTCTATCTAGAAATTTTCTTGATATTCTATCTTAGATATACAACAAGAAAATACAACCACTTAAAACCAGGTATATGTTAATAAACACTGTACATATAAATTGGTTATATCCAGCAAGAAGAAACTACAAGAAAGCAAATGTTTTCATCTGTGTTTAATGGGCATTGTCAGGCTAATCGACTTTTGAGTTTGAATGCAACTGTTAAAACGAACAGTTTGAACCAAAAAGTTACTAAAAATAAAAGATTGCCATTCAATGTTAAAGATGGATGACATGAAAGAGAAGAGGATTATAAGATTAAACTTTGTATATGACTTCCATGCAGGAGGGAAGAAGTCTACATCTCTAAAGTTGATAGCAGTATTTTTTCTTGCAGCTTTGTAAATTTCTGATTGTTCTAACTATGTAAACCATTCTTTGTGGGAGGTGTTATGTAACTTTTTGGTTTGAACCATTTGTTTTAACATCTGCATTCAAACTGCTAAAGTCAGTTAGCCTGATGATGCCTATTAAACATAGATAAAATGTTTGTTTCTTGTAGTTTCTTTCTGTTGGATATTGGCTATGTGTGCAGTGTTTAATAATAAGAAAAATATCATTTTTAAGTCAATTGTTCCTATTAAATGATTCTTATAAATGAATACACATTTGTAAGAACAAATGTGAATTTGAATACATATAACAGAATATAAACATGTTTATAATATTCTGTTATATTTGAAATGACAAGATCCATTATTATACATTAGTTCAAAAAAGACACAAGTCAAAACTGTCATCTTTGAAGTGTGATTCTTAAAAAATTTTATCTTTCTATAATTATACTGGATAAATAATTATAATACACAGCAACATTAAAACCAATATCATTGATTATTGCAATTAATATTCCAATAAATTTTTGATTTTCTCATCAGATGAAATTACCTATTAAATTTCTAATGATAATCAATATTAGGCTTTCTTCCAAAAGATTCCTGGAAAAAAGCCTAATATTGATTACTTAGTTAATAAGCAAAGTTAATTTTCAGGATATATAAATCTCTTAACAGAAATTACTAGAATATTAATAATAATTTAATCTACTTTTATATAATTTGCCAACATTGCTTAATCACAAAAGAAAATACTGATTTAACCAGTAATATTTTTGTTTCTTCACGGATTGTTCATCTACTTTGAAATGTCTTAAGCTCCAGGATTCTGTTTGAATCTTGTTCAATTCTTGTACTCAATGGTGGCTCCACAAATTTGGTATTTGCCTATTGCCAAATAATTGCCTATACTTCCCCTTTTATTTGCCACAAAGTACCAACAAGAAGTGAAAAATGGTAAATTCCAAATATTAATCGCAAGTAAATTGTCCACACTACTTGGGATTGGCCAAATAATTGCTCAACAATCAGAAAATACTGAATGTGTGGAGCCACTTTTAGATAATAAAGTGAAGGTAACTGTACAGTTTTGAGAGTTTGAATGTTTTTCTTCATATATTAATTAATAATACGTTGCCCTGTATTATTACGTCCATTTAGAATTTCAAAATTTGAACAACAAAATGCTAGAACTACGAACAATTGTCATAATGACGAGAGATGATAAATACAGTCACATACACCTTCTCTTATGTAACATCTTCAAATCACTTAAGAAGGTGATTTAAAGGTGTTAATCAAGATAAACCTGTTATTTACACTTCACTTAATGATGATAATGCCTGCATTATTTACAGATTCAATTTTACACATTGAATGTGGAAGAAAGATTTACAGAAATGAAAGTAATGAATGATTAAAATGGAATTTTATAAAGAATTTAACGTTAGGGAAAGTTTTCACGTGTGAAATTACATTCGATTAAATGCACGAATGAAGAAGAAACTTACTTAAATCCTCTATTTGTTCCGCCAAAGTATAGTCTACAGGTTGATCGGTTTCTAAGGCAACACCATTTATGATATTATCGAGATGACATTCAATTTTATCCATTTTCTTGAATATTATCGACGTAAGTTCATCACTTCCTTCGCAAACCTTAACTTATTGACGAATGTAATTAGAATTCTTTCAAAGATGACTGCTCACGGCAGGAATTTTCGCCTCGAGGTGTTTACTAGCAACCTTTTTCTACAAATGACTCATTATTAATAATAAAACTGCATTTAAGACACCGTAAAAATTCTTAAAATAACTCGAAAACCCCACGTGTCAAGTAATTCGTAAAAAAAAATAATCAATTACACACATATGTTAATTGTCAAATATGTCTTTATTGGACGTCGTTCGTTCGAAATATACAATATAACCAATCACGTGTTATTACGCAACGCAATTATGTACATTTTGACAGGTTTGTTATTTTAATGCGTACTTCCACTACCAGATGACGCGACGATTGGCGTGCGAATTCGAAAAAAGTTTTTTTTATGTATTATATGAAAAAAGTAATTGTAAAAATAATAACTATTTTATAAATTTAATTTTAAATTATATTAATTAATATTACGGCGAGGGAAATATAAATTCGTTAAAATTAAGGGCGTTGTTTCGGATGGAAAAAATTTATTGGGGCTCTGTTTGAGCGGAAGGTTCAAAACAAGATGGCGGAGAATGGTAAGTTATCGATCTATTCAGCTGTTGCAAATTTTGTCATAAATGTCACAAAAATAAACAAATCTAACGGTTTTGTTGACGTGTTAAGTCGTAATAACGTCTAGAATATGTTTATGATAGAAAATTCATTCGGGAAATTACTAGAGTTTATATTTCCTTTCCAATAGATTAGAGTCGTGTTTTCTTGTAAAATCCTGGTTTAATTCAGTTTATTTTAACTGTTTAAGCTATTTAATAAGTCAAGAAACAGCTTTGACTTATGTAAATCGAGAATTTAATCGTATATATAATAAGATCTAATTACTGTCATAAGAATCACACAGTATGAATTTTTTATATAAATAATTGCAAATGTTGGGTTGGAGTTACTTTTAGTTAATTTGTGTGTATAGACAAATGACCTAAAAGTGACTTCTACTAGTTATTATTATACACACTTTCTGTATTAATTTTGAAAATATGCTGAATGTAAAAACATTATTTAAAAAAATTACAATATAAATATTGTTAAAAATTGCAAAATCATATTATAAACTATTAAAATTCACAATGTGTTCGAAGCTTGTTGTCGTATTCTGTTGCACTTAAATCTTGCAACTGGACAGACAAATAACCAATTTTCTGTCGAGTTGCAGACAAATATGCTACACTAACCTTATAATGCTTTACAGTTATTTTGAAATGTAACACAAATGCAAACTGCAAAGCATTATAAGGTTAATGGAATATATTTATAATTAAAGCTTTGTTTATTGGCTGGATTTTATTTCTGTAAAGTTTTTTTGCCAAACTTTAAAAATAAAATTCAAATTTAATTTATATATATGTATACAGTAATATTTTGTAAATGAATAAAATATAGATTAATAATTTTTTTTATTACGGGTTTATTGCATCAATTTGTATAATACGCAGCAAAAATTAATTTTTGTTTTTTTGTTGCGTATTATAAAATTAATATACAAATAAAAAATTTCTATTTGCATTTTGTGTTTTTTAGTTATAACCTGTCTTCAGTTAGCATTCTTTATTGAGGGTTTTAAATAAATAAATAAATTAATTTATATAGTTTTGATTAAAATGGACTGCAATTTTGATCTATAAATTTCTGCTGGTGTCCATCTGTTTGTCTGTCCGTCCTTCCTTAATCTTGAGAACAGAGATGATTATTTCAATTCAAAAATTTTTTCCTGGAATGGAGTTAGTTAGATGATCAACATGACTTCATTGTTAACAGGAAAAGCATGATGTGCAGGGGAAGACAATACTAAAATTGAGAGCATTGTGTGAAAAGTTGCAGTCCAGCATTGCCACAATGTCACAATAAGTAATTGCTTGTTTACATTAAAAATACAAGGAATAAATTAAAATGTCTTCATATCTCCATGAAGTCTATTCAACAGGAATGAAGTCTTCCTTTACAGAGATCTTAAAGCATAACTTTAAAGAGGCAATAATTGNAAAAAGTGGAAAGCAGCCAAACTTCATGATGAATAACTTAAAATGGTCATTAAATTCATATATCTCCATTATATTTTAATAGGAGATTGATTGATTGGAATGATTTTTTTATTTTTATTTTTTACTTTTTTGGCATTGAATCTACAAAAGTTATGCTGATCGAGTCAAAAGATAGGAAAAAAAAAAATGAACATTTACAAACGAAAATCTGGATGCTATGACAATAAGTGGTAAGAATTTTAGATAATACTATAATAAATAAGTACAAAGAAAAGATAAAAACATATTCACATGATAGTTCAAAACTTAGTTAACCAAATATAAAATATATATTTAGTTAACTAATTTTTGGTCTCACCATTTTTCAAGACTTTTTTAATAACAATATCTGGCAACTGCTATCTTGCAAGGCAGCCAAGTTTACAGGGGTATGCATTTACAGCAGGGGTGGTCAATCAGTAGATTGTAATTGACAGGTTAATCTCAAAAAAATTTTCAATTGATCACCACAGTATTTTCTATCTACAGTTTTGTATAACACTTATAAATTTATTAAATTAAAAAAATCATATTAATATACTTTCAATATTAAATCATGAATGAGAGAAAACACGAATACTTAATTCTACTGTACATACAGCAGTAGGTTACAGATGTTACTACTATAAACTTACATTATGTAGTGATGTCATTTGTGTCTATCAGTAGATTGTGACTAGTTTTAATATAATGAAAGTCAATTACAATAACAAATAGTTGACCACCTTTACAATAGAATAGCACGTAAAGCTATACTTGTAAAACTAAATAAAAGTAAAAAAAATAAATTTATAGTGTTATTTAATAAATAAAAATAGATACAACATTACAATGTTAACTCCAAGATTTATTTATTTATTTTAAGGTTTTTGATGTTATAAAAATATTTTATTCAGGAGTAACGGTTATAGAACAATGGTTTCGAACTAATGATATATCAACTGGCATAGAACACTTTTTAATAAATTATAATCAGTGCCATATTTAAAAAAAAGCAAATATAATTATTAAATAATACTTCCAGAAAAATAATAAGTAATGTTTTTGAAAAATCATTCTAAATTAATCCTAATTTGTCAGTTATAAAAATAAATGTTTAATCTGATTGTATGGATGATGTGTACGATGATATGATAGATGTAGGTGTGTGTAGTTGAGTAGATATATAATGATTATATATATTACCATATATGATGATTATAAATTTTATATATATATATACAGTAGAGCATTGATTATCTGAATCAATTGGGGACTGGGGTTGTTNGAATGTGTAGTCTGGAACACAAGAAATAAATGGTGGTCCCTTTTGGGCAGACTTTGTCTTTAATTTTAATAATAATAATCTCCATTGGATGAAAAATTTGCAAAAGAAAAAATTGGAATGTATCGTCACCAGGGGGAAGTTTCCAAAATCTGCATTTTCCAGCGCTTGTTCCAGTAGATAAAAGCAGAAACACCCCATAGGAAGAATGGAAAGCAAGACGTCTGTATAACACCAGTTCCTTTTTTAAAAAATTTTTTTAATTGGATGTAATTGTGTTTTTTAAAGGACTGTTTTTAAATTCTGGCGGCATGTAGCCTATAAAGGAAGATCTGTCGCCATGAATGTGAAGTCTGGAACACAAAAAAATAAATGGTGGCCCCTTTTGGGCAGACTGTCTTTAATTAATTTTTTGTCTTTTTGATTTTATAAGTTGGGTATTTAAAGTTAGTTAGTTATTTAAAGGGTCAAGTATTCAATAAATGGTAGAAAATAATATTTCAATATTATGTAATAATTATTTGAACAAATTTGAGAGAATTTCTATTCATCACTTATGTTTGCATTTTTCTAATCATACAATGACTTGATAGATTTAAATGCAATTGGAAATTTTTTTGTGAATTGAACAATTCTTATATTCTTTGAAAATATTATCTAATTCATTAAATTTTATGGTGATTATGATAATCATAATTATATACAAAAAATAATTACAAGTATATATATACATTGTATATATATACTTGTGCTCATACAACATTGTAACCATGTTGTATGAGCATATCTTATTTTTGAAACTTAGTAAATTGAAATCTTGTAAATTGGGATGATGATTTCCTTTATTTCTAATGGTAAAAGTGTGTACCTTGTTCTAACTTGATTACCTTACTCATGTTCTCTAAACGACATTTAAGTGCTACAAAATACCTATTTTATTTACAATTATTAGTTTCATTCAGTAAATTCATTTTATTTACCTATCAGTAAATAAAATGGATTTTAATTTTGTTGCACTTGTAATTTTAAGAGTTTTTTTTAATCATGAATATTAGTGTTCATTGTATTAAATATTTTGACTCATAAATTGGGAAGAGGGATAAAATAAACCAACTCATTGTATTTAATTTCTGTCATACCATATTCATAAACCTCTATATAAATTTTACGGCAGTGATAAGGTATTTTATGCATTAGTAGAAGTAAATAAAATGATGTAAAAGTGATAAAATGATATAGTAAATAAATTGTAAATTTAATAAGGTTTATTAGGAAAGTTTTTTATTTCTTTTTTTGTTTTTACTCTAATATTCTTAGTATTAGTGGAGCATGGATAATCCACAAGTCTGTTTTAATTAAAGCTGATTAATTTTTCTTTTATTTAGTTTTAATTTAATATAATAGTTCATTTTNAAATGATGTAAAAGTGATAAAATGATATAGTAAATAAATTGTAAATTTAATAAGGTTTATTAGGAAAGTTTTTTATTTCTTTTTTTGTTTTTACTCTAAAATTCTTAGTAGTAAACACTTAAAAAATTAAATTTTTTTAATCATATTATTATTTATTTTTTTAAATTTTTATACACCAAATTACAGCATCCTATCTAAACTCTACTTTTCTTGTTACTTTGTGATTCATTCTTTGAATCTCTACAAATTGTTTTGCATTTAGATATTCTTTTGCTTTAGTTTTTTAAGGTTCTACTTCTTAAAATCTACTCCATCTGCTGTTTCTTTCCTGTTTCTCATGCTTTAGTTTTCAGTCAAATCTTGATAATTTGTTTTAATATTTTCAGTCTATTTGTAGTTTGTTTGATCAAATTTCATTTCTCTTTGATTCATTATCTTAATGCTTTAACTTAATCTACTATATATATATTTTTTAAGTAGTCTTGTCTTCACTTATTTTTGTTGTAAATGAAAACATCAAAAATTTCTCTTCTTTCCTATTGTTCTTAATTAAGTTAAATTTTGTTGAAGAAAATTTTAGCCTTGATCACTTGGCAAGTTTTTTAAACGGTTCTACTTTGTACCTTTTTTCTGATGATGTCATTATCAATTTATCTTTATTTTTTTTGTCTGAATGACTTTCTCCAACATTATTATTGAAAAACTGTTTTTCTGCTAATTGCACTGTTTAATTGAATCAAACTTCATATAAATAAATCTTCTCCTTACAGATGTTTAATTGAACATGTAATTAAAGATAAATGTTAAAAGAAAAATTTGATAA